GGGAGAACCTGGATTTCATAGTAGTAGAAAGTGCTATACATGCTACTAGAGGAGAAAAGTAATCACCAACCTTGCCCACCTATAAACCCTATGAACTACAATAATGACAGTAATGACTAGTGATCGGCCTGGCCAGACTTATCCTTGATACAATGGTGGTGCAAATTTTGTAGGATTACCCAGCCACTTTGTGATTAAATTGGAAGTCAACTCCACAATATAGAACCCATACCTGGCACTGCTATTGGGCCAGAAACCTGTGACTAAATAGGTCATAGTCCTTAGGAGAGAAAATAATACTATATTCTGCTAAATGGATAGCAAAACAACTCCTGAGAGACTTAATGTTTTCAATTTCTTGTGTCTTTTTTGTGCTTTTTTCTTAATAACATTTTCATATTTATAATAATGATATTTAATACAGGGACACACAATTGGCCTATGTGCAGAAAAGAAAACACTGTGATATGCTCAGCCCTAAATGGGATGTTTGTACCCTCATCCCAAGCCTCATGGGTCTTTATAGAAGAAGGAGGCAAACATTTCAGAGCCAGAAGTGGTAGATAACTATAAGGAAACAGTGTTTTCCGGACATAACAGGACAACTGCACAAATGAACTCTGATTATGATGACATTTAGAAAACCTGCACAAGCCCAAGGCAGACTGAATCCCAGAATAGAAGCTGAGATGTGGACATGATGCCCTATTCCTAGCTGAGGAGGTCTTGGCATTTGATAGCTGCTGGGTGAGGGAGAGTCTGTCTTCTTTATGTTATGAACACTGGTAGGTCAACCCATGCTCCAGGGCAGGACTCACACCCAGGAGTTTTGGGGCAATACATATCTGTTTTGATAACTTTAAAAAAAATAAGTTAGTGGGGTAGGGAGGTAGGGGTGGATCTTCGAGGAATTGGGGAAGGGGAATTAAGATGCTCAAAATATATTGTATTAAATTCTCAAAGTATTAATAAAATTATTTTTAATTTTTTAGACTGCAGTAACTCTTATGATTCTTTATATGTGGGGTTTTTCTTCAGACTTTCATGAAAATATTTTCTGAAATGAAGAAACCTTGTTTCTTAAGTATAATTTAAAAGATACAAATAAGGATATTATATACTCTAAAATGGTAGAATGGTAGCTCTTAAAAAGGTCATCAATTCAGAAGAATATCAGAAATTAAAATTAGAAAAAAATGGTTCCATAAATTCCTGTTAAAATGGAATAAAACTCAGGCATAGAGGCACATACCTGTCATCGAAGCACTGGAGTGGCTGAGGTCAGAGGATTGCCAAGAACTGAAACCATCCTGCTCTACATAGAGAATTCCAGGCAAGCCAAGGTTCCAAAGTGAGACTGTGTTTGTCTAAAAGCAAACCAACCAACTCACCAAAACAGAAATAAAAATGTCAGAAAAGACACACTTAGTAAGTGGTGCCCTAGAATCTTAAGGTTAGATATTCAGAGAAATAAGTCTCTTTACTGTGTCAAAGGAGTTGATCTTCCTAAACACCCATGTGCTGCTGTGGGGTGGTCACCTCTTTTGGAGGTACTTCTAATGTACATAACTCCCCGGTGTATCGCTGGACACTGTTTTTTTTTTTTTCTTTGTTCTTCTGGTGCTAAGGATTTGTACCTAGGCTCTTACGAATGTTAGACAATCAGTCTCATCACTGCACAATACCTAGACCCTCAAATACTACAAACATGATTTCCATGGATCTGTCTTCCATTTGAGATGACCTTGAGTCTTCATCAGTCTGACTCTCAAAATCCAGTTCTGAGGTGACACTTATAGGTCTGTGTGAGGAAGATGTCTCATGTGATGGAGGAACCCCAGTCAGAGGAAACATTTATACATCTCAATAAAATTTTAGACACCCAGGCTAAAATTAAGATATATGCAGTAAAATACCATAATGAAACCCATTACTTTAAATGCTAACTTAAAATGAGTTTTTTTTAAATTTATCTACATGCTTTAAGCAAATCTTTATATAAGTGCCATTTTAAAATAATGGCTAAGCAAAAAGCCAGAATCTGTTGTTATTTTGGAGTCTTTTCCCCCAAGACACAACAATGCTAAATGTAGCTAAATGAAAATGACAAGTTATATTCTGTATGTCCAAGCTGTTTTTCCCCTTGTGCAAAACCAGAGATTTTTATCTCAACTTTGTCCTTTACCATTTTTCAAATGTTACATTGTGCTATTTTTAATGTGGGAAAACATGCACATGCTCTTTTTGCTAATCTCCACAGCTTGACTAGTAGGTATTGGAAGTGATGGAGTGCCCAAATATCAATATAGGGTAAACCAAAGGAAAACCTGTGCACTTGCTGAAGCCTGGGCCGGGGCTGGCTTTTCTAATATTCTGACCCAGTCTTGACATTGTTCTCTTACATAAAATGTTATTGAGAGAAACTGGTTGAAGAGTACATGGAGTCCTCTGTTCATTCTTTGTAAATCTGTGATCCCAGGATTCTAACTTTAAATAAGAGTCAAATATCTTGACAACAGAAATTTTAGCAATTATGTGATTCAAAAAAATTTTGTCAAAATTTTTGAGGTGTAAGTCTGGCTCTTCAGGAGTAAATTAGGAGCTCTTCCTGTCACCACTTTATTGCTGCCTTCTACAAGGGAGGGGGAGAGTTGGCACTGCGGTGCGATGTTATCCGCAAATGTGTTGAACACTATTTGCACAACACATGCACTGGCTACAAGTTGGATATTCCTGTGACCCAGTTTCCAATGTGAAGTGTCATTGTAGAAGCAATATCTTGAGGAAGGTCATCTGATAGATAGCTGATGGAGAGTTGTTTTGTTTTTGTCTGTATGACAAAAATGTCATTTCCTGTACATTGATTTCTCTTCAGTCTAAGGTGTTGAGGAAAATACACAGATGGTGGCAATTTGGACCATATATCTTTAATCTTGTGATAATTTTACAGTAATTTTCATATAAGATACATCAAGGAATGCCCAAGGCAGCAAGTAAGTGTTAATATCAAAGATTAAGAAATAGTAATGTACCTAGAACGTGCTACTGGCATATTAAAAACATTCCTACATTTTATTTTTCTGGGGAAAAACTATGTAAGCCATTGGTTCAGTAATAACGTTTATTTTGAAAGTGTTTCCATGTTCGCTTGTGCTCTTTGAGAAAGATGCAAAGAAGTAAAAGTGAAGCCACCGAAGGCATACAGAGGTCAGGAACTTATTTCAAGAAGGCAAAAACTGTTTTCCTCCAAAGTCTAATCACACATCCTTAGTTCTCAAATTATCTGCCATCTACAACTCTGTCCAGAGCATAGCATTCACGGGTAGTGAGTATTTAGCCATACCAGGTACTGAGCAAGATGGTATCAGGTGTTCAGTGTGATGATATGTCACCAACAGACTACTGAGTTGTGTGCCAGACTTTCTGCTTATTATTAGAGAAGTCCACTAAGCATGTCAGTGCTGTTTTCACCAAATTCCAAGATAAACATCCTTTAATAGGCCACATTTCTTCTCCCCACTGGCACTGAAAATTTAAGCATTAAGTCAGTGTCAGGCTGGGGCCTTGGTCAGTTTCTTAGGTGGTCCATGTCAGGACTACTATGTCAGACACATGCTATCTGCTGTGAAATATAGCACTTAGGTCTGACACTGTTAGACTTGAGAGGCACTGAGAATCCTGCATACTTGGGAAAATTGAAGAAATAAATGGGTTCTAGCATATTGATGATGAGTTTTTACCCTAAAAGAAAAGTTACTGCAAAGACTTTTCCAGAAATACCATGTAATGTGGGGAAAGGGACAGTGGCATTCAAAGTAGTTAACAGAAGAAAATGAATAGGGAGATGGATGACTACTGGACAAGCATCCAGCCATAGTATCTTCAGGATTTGCAGAGGCTTCAGGAATTCACTGTGCTACTCAGTCAAAAATATGTGTTTGGGACCAAGCTCTGTTTTACTAACTATGTATAGAGGATCTAGAAGTGGCCAAATGACAGACAGCCATATGGGCCATTAGAAGGACTTCAGCTTTTGCCATGAGCCAAATGGGAAGCTGTGGGATGATTTTGGCAGTGGAATGATTTGATCTAACTTCATGTTATCACATTGTCGCTCTGGTCTTAGAGATATCCAGTTGAAAATGGGAATAATTCAGAGTTACTGTGATAAGCCAAGTGGGAGGCCAGAGGGGTAGGCAGGTGGTGTCAAGACTGACAGTACAGTACTTGGTTCAATAGCCTGGGAAGATGGGGTTCTCATTAGCTAAACTGGAGAGACTAGCAAGAATGGACTGCTGAGGTGATGCCAAAGGTTTGGTTTGTGGTGTTAGCCTTAGAGTCATCCCACTCCCACCCCATGCCTTTGAGGTACCTGAAGGGGTTGTAGAGTTGACACTTAAATAGCCACTTCCAGAGCAAGGGCTAGAATGGTCACTGGGAGCCAGATGGTATTTGAAGCTAGGAAATTCATCAATGTGCCTTGAGAGGTCAGAGTGCTGTCATCTCAGAGGCCAGAACTTAGATTCAGAATTTACAGAGAGCAGTTAATTAAACGTTTCCTAATGTTCTCTCTTTAAATAAATAAATATGTCATGTCACTCTCTTGAGACAGGTGTACTGTTTAATAAGCATTCCTGGATTTCTTCTTTTTTGTAATGGCTTTTAACTGATCAGTTGATAATAATATTTGAAATTCATAAGTACTTTTTAGTCTGGAAATCTTTGTGTGTGTGTGACATTATTAAAACAGGTGACATTTGTAAACACAGAAAATTGAGGTTTTAAGAGTAATTATTTCTGAGGATAGAAGTTAATGTAAGGCTGGTCTGAATTTTCCACAGTTGTTTCTTTGTTGTAAGTCTCAAGTTGGGTTGAAATTTCATGGTTAGCAAATCTTTGAAATTTATTTAATGAAAAATGAAACTATGAACTATTGATTGATATACTTTTGCTTCACACTGAACTTGAAACTCTTTTGTTTTGTTTCTGGCCTTTTCTAGCCATTATTTGCATTTTTAAATGAAGAGAAGTTTAATGTGGATGGGTGGACTATTTATAATCCAGTTGAAGAATACAGAAGGCAGGTAAGTCAATAAATACTGTTGTCTGATATGCATCTCAGAATAAATAACAGCCTTGCCTAATATGTGTTCATGGCTGTGGTATCATCCACATTTTATATAATATTGTTTGTTATTTCCCTTTTTAACTAGCAAGCTCATTCTGTAGCCAGATTCAAGCTGCACTGAAAGCTGAGTGACTGGGATCTGCTTCCTTTCCTAAATGAGGAACATCCATTTTGTGGTGTTTATGAAATGAATCAAATACTTCGGGTCTAGAAAAATCAATCCTCTATACATTAAAAGAGAGAGAGAGAGAGAGAGAGAGAGAGAGAGAGAGAGAGAGTGTGTGTGTGTGTGTTCGTGTGTGTATGTGCATGTATATATGTGTGTTTAAGCTTAAATAGTGCTGAACATTTTATTTAAATTATGTATGTTCTGAATTACAGATTCAAGTGAGTTATAACTTTTCTGTTAAAATTAATGTATAGTATCCACAAAGAGCTTTATTATACTGTCATATAAATGTCATCTGTATGTATGTTCATTTTTTATAGTAAGAGCATGATATTTGGCTTAGGTAAAGGACTCAGCAAGTAAAGTGTTTGCAGCATGAGGACCTGGGCTTGGATCCCCAAATCCCATGTAAAAAGCCAAATGTAGCAGCCTACACCTGTAATCACAGCTCTGGCAGGAGATCCAGGAAGATCCCAGGCTGTCTCTGGCCAGCCACTGTAGCCAAGATCCCTGTTTCAAAAGATAAGGTAGAGAACGATACAGGAAGAGAGCTGCCGTCAGCATTTGGCTTTCACATGTGTACATACACATGTAAACCCTTGCATATACGTGTGCATCATGTGCATGTGCATGCACGGCATTCATACTCTACACATAGGAGGGAAAAATGGCTCCTAGAACTTTTATAAAGAATGTCGCAAGCAAGCATATTATGTAACAAAGCCACAATTTGACCTCTGATAGAACTACTTCTGTGGTACAGCTAGTAGTTTTGCAGTGGAATTTTTCGTATTTCTTCTATGAGGTTCCTAAAATAATTTGGAAATGTTAAGAAAGGGGCTTTCGACAATCAAATTCAGGCCACTTGCTTTGTAGGAAAAGCAAGTGAACACAAAGTACTCTGCCAGAGCTCTAAACTTGTGGAGAACTTCCTACCTGCCCCCTTTCTGTTACCCTGCTTTACTTCCATCGGAAGGTTTCATCAGTGGCTTTTATACCCTGGAGTAGATGAAGGAGGTTTTGCTCTAGAACACATTTAGGAGGGTTCCTGTAAATCGGCTTTACACGACTGATTTTTCAAAGGGTATATACCTCTCATTTTAATGGCCTCTGTTCTAGCCTGACTACTGAGGTGGAAGAAAGCCCATTAGACTATTGTTCAGACTTTATAAACAAACCTCTGCAATAGTAAGACGTTCCTTTAGTTTGAGCTTCTAGCTTGAAACAAAACATTTCCTGTTTTGTAAGAATTGCATGCATAGATGAACTTCTGAAGATATTTTGTTATAGACTGCCATTATATTCAATCTTTTTTTTCTTGTAACTCTCTAATTGGATTCAGCATCAGAATCAGCATCTGTCTGGTCGTGGTACATAGGGCCAGACCTAAAGAACAGGTACAATGTCTGTCCCCAAAGCAAACACCCACCTAGCTCACGTTCATGTGTGTATTTGTGCATTTGTAAGTATGGGGAGAGAATATTCCACCACCTCTGGTTATTGTCCTTAGTGGATACGGGGGTGGCTTCTGTGTCTCCCTATCATACTAGCAGTCTGCTTAAAATACTAATGACTTTACTCCTCACACAACTTACAGAATGATCCTGGGTCTCTAGCCTCTTGATTTAAACAACTTGTCTGAGGTGGCGAAATGAGCCTCCCCAGAGGGGTTTACTTTCTCTCCCCCCAGTGCTTTTTCTCATGGGACTACCCTCTTTCCACTTGGGAGCAGACTGCGTCCATCATTCTCTCTTGTTTAGAACAGGGAAAGGAAGTTGCTACCCTCAAGTAGACATAGGTTAACACTGCCCATGGCACTTTTCTTGGGAATGGAGGGGGAGGGGTGCATGGTGAGGAGATGAACTTGGGCTTATCTGTATTGCACAAGGAGTAAAGACTGTGTCTACATGTAATAAAGGAAGATGTCAAATTCCATCGAACCTATAATTGTGAGAGATAGTCCAGTTATGGAAACCACCAGTGTTTTGTCCATGTGCTCATGTTGTCTGGATTATTGATTTTATTTTCTTAAGTATGTAGGCTGCCAATCACTCTGTGATCAGAGGCATGTACACATGATGGTAGAGGGAAGAAAGAACCCAGATGTTGCAGAGGTGAGTCATTTCATGCTGACTTATATCCCTTTTGTCCTGCAGGGCCTACCTAATCACCATTGGAGGATAACTTTCATTAATAAGTGCTATGAACTCTGTGACACATACCCTGCTGTTTTGGTGGTTCCCTATCGGACCTCAGATGATGACCTCAGGAGAGTTGCAACTTTTAGATCCCGAAATCGGATTTCTGTGAGTACTTTGTCACATTGCTCCCAGAGAATACCTTTCCTTTCATAAGAACTGTAGTCATGTGTTTCAGAGGAGCCTTCGTTTCATTCTGATGAGTAATCACCAAGGGCCTCCTGCAAGTGTAACACTGTGTGAAATGGGAAAAGAACAAACACCTGCCTTCTAGGAACACTGAATCCAGGGTGCAGAAGGAAGGTAGGGAAAGAGCTTTAAATGAGAGTAACAGCAAGAGTGGCTCACCTCAACTCAGGGATGTAGGGAAGAAAGGACAGAGTCTTGGTTGTTGTCATCATTATGGCACGATACCTGACAAGATGCAGGCTCTTGTAAATGTTGACTAAACTGTGCTGCAAGGAAAGAACTAGAATACTAGAATGTATATTAGTGCAGGCTTTTATGCCGACTATAAGATGTGCTGATCTGCATCCTCTTTGCAGGCTGCCTGCATCCCCTTAAAAAACTGGAGTCAAGTACAGATTATTCCAGACATTATGCTACCATGTCACTGAACCTAGATCACAAAGTTCTTTTTCAGTCCTTAAATATTTATGGACATGTCATACTTTCTACTAGTTACATAAATTTTATTGACTAAAAATTTAGAGATTGTTTTTTTCTTCCCCTGTTAATTTTCAAGAGTTGTCATAATAAGTACATTGGGTTTTGTTTCAAATTAGCAGATTTAAAAAATGGTTGAAGAAATTAAGATTTAATGTCACCTTGCCTTTGACTTCTAAGTGAAGACTTTCTTGTCCTTAAAAGGATATTTTTGGGAAAACTTCATGTATTGTCAGCCTATGAGGAATTCTAATTTTTAAATTCTCTTGCTTTTCTGATTAGTGTCTGTTTATATCTTCCTGATAAAATTGTACTTGAAATTATGTTCTTTAGCTCATTGTGTTAGAATGTGAAGCTAGAGTTAGAAGTTTGGTCTTATTATGCTCCACTTGGACATGTTTTTCTGTACTAGAGCAGCAGTCTGTACTACTGTGACCCCACACAGTTGTCTTTTGGCAAGTGCCTTGCCTATACCAGAAAAGGAGAATTAGGATAGTGTGGTATGTATGGGTTTGGACAACTATCTATCTATTCAGCTCATTGAACATCTGCTGTATAGATTTTGTGTGTATGTGTCTGTCTGTCCTGTGTGTTTTGTCTTGTCTGTCTGTCTGTCTCTGTGTGTTTTTTGTGGTATATGAAACAGGAGAAGAAATGACAGTTGTTCCTAAGCCATTGACCTTGTTCTACCATCATGATCCTGTAGTCCCTGTTGTTCTTCATGAGTGAGAGTCCAATGTAGGAAAAAAATTAACATGCTATTTTTTGCTTTGTGAGGTTACTAATTTGTTTTTCTTAAAAATATTAAGGCTAAGATACCATATTTATTTTATAATGATCTATTATGTATTATAAGTGTTGACATATGCTATTTCTAACGTATCTTCTGATCATGTGACTCTTGACAATGGGTCTTAGAACATTTGTCCAGAAAATGCTAGTTATGGGAAACACAAGGTTTTTTTTAAATTTTTTTATGAGTCCAAATTAGGAACAAGCTTGCTTCACATGTCAATCCCTTCTCCCTCTCCCTCTCCCTCCCCTTTCCCCCTACTCTCCACCTGCCCCTCACCCCATCCAGGTAGGGTAGGGCCCTCAAGGGGGCTCCCCAAAGTCCACCACATGATCCTGGACTGGGCCCTAGGCCCTCCCGGATGTGTACAGGCTGAGAATGTATCCCTTCATGTGGGATGGATTATCAAAGTCCCTTCTTACACCAGAGAAAAATACTAATCCACTACCAGGGACCCCTAGAGCCCAGAGGCCTCCTCATTGACATCCATGTTCAGGGGTCTGGATCAGTCCTGTACTGGCCTCCCTGACAGCATCTGGGGTCGATGTGTTCCCCCTTGTTCAGGCCAGCTGTTTCTCTGGTGACCCCCTTTAATCTTCATTCCTCCCTCTCTGCATCTAGGTTCCAGAGTTCAGTTCAGTGTATAGCTGTGGGTGTCTGACTCTGCTTCCATCAGCCACTGGATAAGGGCTCTAGGATGGCATAAGAAGTAGTCATCAGTCTCATTTTAGGGGAAGGACGTTTAGGTTATCCTCTCCACCATTGTCTGGATTGTCAGTTTGTGTCATCCTTGTAGATCTATGGAAATCTCCCTAGTGCCAGATCTCTCCTTGGACCTATAATGGCTCCCTCTGATATGGTATCTCTCATCCTGCTCTCCTCTATTCTTCCCCCAACTCAACATTTCTGGTCCTCCATTTCCTCCTCTCCCCTCCGCTTCTCCTCCTCTCATTTTGGCAGCTCCCTCTCCCCTACCCTCATGCTCCCAATTAGCTCAGGAGTTACTGCCCCTTCTCTGGGGTTCATGCATTTTTCCCTTAGAGTCTTTCTTATTTCCTAGGGGAAACATAAGTTTGATATAGTTCTTTAAAACAAAAGTAAAAGTATAAACATAGTTGGTAAGAAATATCTCATTTAAACACAAGTCAGATACACATTATAATAAAATACTACTGGTTAGTGAACTCATGCACTTGCACTTGCATGGATACATATTCCTTGTCTCAAAAAGTAGGCTTGCCTTTATTTTATAGAAGCTGTTAATGAATAAGTGATGTGTACTCATTTGAGCTATTTAGAAAACACTGGTAAGCAAAAGCCAGCCTGCCACCTATTGAGAACTAGCACTGAATTATCCTTTAATTTGGATCCCAGACTACTTTCTTCACTAGCAATGTATCTTAACCTTAACTTTTCATGACAAGCTCATATATTAGTATGCAATGATTTATTCAGTTTTCCTTTTTTCTCTCCTCTCTTTTACTATTAAATTAGAAACAAGCTTGTTTTACTGTCAATCCCAGTTCCCTCTCCCTGCCCTCCACCAACCCCTATCCCATCCCCTTGCTACTCCCCGGGGAGGGTGAGGCCTTCCATGGGAAATCTTCAAAGTCTGTCACATCATTTGGAGCGGGGCCTAGACCCTCCCCCATGTGTCTAGGCTAAGAGAGTATCCCTCTATGTGGAGTGGGCTCCCTATTCCATTCCTATGCTAGGGATAAATACTGATCCACTAGCAGAGGCCCCATAGATTGCCCAGACCTACAAACTGACACCCACATTCTGTGGGTCTGGGTTGGTCCTATGGTGGTTTCCCAGCTATCAGTCTGGGGTCCATGAGCTCCCCCTTGTTCAGGTCAGCTGTTTCTGTGGGTTTCTCCAGCCTGGTTTAATAATTTTCCTATTGTAAGATTTCTAGAACCTTCTGACTGTTTGCTCTTATAAACAATGCTATGGACCAGGGAGATTGTTCACTGAATAAAAACACTTGCTGCCATTCCTGACAGCCTGAGTTTGATCCGATGGTAGAAGGAGAGAACTAACTCCCTTAATTTATTCTCTGACCTTTGCAATGCTCTGAGGCCTGTGTGTACACATTCATGTGTCCCCCCCAATATAAATAAATCTTAAAAATTCCAAATGTAAAAGATAAATAAATAATGCTGTGATAAACATCTTTTTTGACACTTAAGTATTGATGATAAACATCTTTTTTGACACTTAAGTATTGATGACTTCTCAATATTAATTTTAATAGTAATAAATAAAATAGATAATTTAAAATAAAATAAGGTACTATCACAATTTGTACCCAGTCATTTCTACATCAAATACAATTTTTTAAAGAGAGCTAGGGACCTGGAGACATGGCTTAGTGGTTAAAAGTTCAAGCTATTCTTGGCAGTAGACCAGGGTTTGATTCTCAGCACCCACAAAATGGCTCACAATAATCTGTAACTTCACTTCCAGGGAATCAGATACCCTTTTCTGGCCTCTGAAGGAACCAGGCATGTGTGTAGTGCACAGACATACATACAGGCAAAGCATGCATGAACAAAAAGTAAAAAAAAAAAAGCCAGGATGAGCCACTGTCCCCTAGCTACTGTGGACTGCCTATAAATCCTCAGGGGAAGTGGGCCTAATAAGTACACCCATGAGAGAATTCAGACAAGCTCAGTGTTATACAAGCCACACGAAGTAGGTGTACAGATCTGAGTTATGGGTTAGAAGATGGAAGTTTAGGGTAGGTCAGTGGATTTCCCAGAACTTTCTAATGTGTGAGCCTCCTTGGCATGGGCTGGTCTCTAGCGTGGGAACAAACACACATTCTTATTATAATGTGACAATTTTTCAGAAGTGAGAAACTCACAGCATCGTAATAAAACTATATTGTTAAGCATCCATGTTTGTCGCTTACCATCATAGAGGAATAACTTCAAAATCATCCAAATATTGATCTTATATTAAGTAAGCCCAAATGGTTAAGTTGTTTCATCCTTGTGTCTGTGTTTCATCATTTTTGGAACTGATTTGCTGGCTATGAAGCCTGCGTCTAGAAGCTAATGTGAGCTCACATTTATTGCATACTTCATTCTTCTATTTTCCTCCCAGCAGTCATCTCAGGTCATTATTATTCTCTTCAACTGACCAGGGAGGGCCATGAGTTCAGTACCTGAGGGTAATGCCACAGGAGAGCTGGTTGCTCTCCACATTTCCTTCATATTCAATTCATAAACATTCACAGTTGACTTTTCAGTGCCACACTGTAGTTCTGCATATTTAAAGGGCTCAGTATACTATATCAGTTTACATAATAACATATTATATTATATAATAGTATTATATTTATATATATATATGTAATGACTAGATCAAAAAACCTGATATATCCATTACCTCAGATAGTTATCATTGCTTTGTGTTGGGAGCACTTAAGCCATTTTGAAGTATCAATTAAGTACTACTGCCCACTATAGTTATCCAACTGTGCTAAGGAAAATGAAAAGTAGACCTCCCCCACGTTTTCAGAAGCACCTGCAGTATACAACTCAGTACTTTTCAGGACATTATGTTATCAGCTACCATTTATGGGCATAGCTTTTCATATGCTTTGAGTGAACTGAGAAGCCAAGCATGACATGGGCCAGGCTTGCCAGTCAATTGAAGATTGACACTGAGGATGGGCCACATATGCCCTGTTAGGCATTGGGTATCTAGCCTTCGCAGTGGAGAGTGATAGCTCTCTTGGACACTCAAATCCTTCTTTGCTTCCCTTGTATTTTTCTTTCTCTTATGTTGCATTCTAGAATTGGGACTGTTGGGAAAGAACTGGTAGACTTAAGTTACATCTATGGGCAGTGCAGTGATTGCATTTGCCCTTTACTTACTGTTCAAGCTGTTTTCATACAATAACAAGTCCAGCACAAACTACCAAATTCCAGTAACAGCAAATGTTTTCAACATCCTTTCAATAAATCATGTTTGTTGTGGTAAGCATCAATTTATAGTGTTAATTTCAAAAGAAAGGCTGGTAAAACTGACTGTTCTGATTGTTTCAAGTGTTAAATGTCTGTGTTCTTGCTGCCACACGCAGTGAAAATTAGTAGTGAGCAAGTATCGTGTTTCAGCACTGTTTCACTTCATCGTGATTGTCAGTTTTAATGATTTTTGAAGACCTGCTAGATTAAACTTTTTGAACTAACCGTAGGTACTGTCGTGGATTCATCCAGAAAATAAGATGGTCATTATGCGCTGCAGTCAGCCTCTTGTCGGTATGAGTGGTAAAAGAAACAAAGATGACGAGAAATATCTGGATGTGATCAGGGAAACTAACAGACAAATTTCTAAGCTCACAATTTATGATGCACGACCCAGTGTAAATGCAGTGGCCAACAAGGTGAGTATAGTCAATGGAAACCTAACTTAATAGGAACTTAGGTGTTTTCCGTAAATATTGGATTTATTTTGAATGTTTATGTAACTGTTTTTTAAGTCAGGCTTTCACTTGGCACATACCTGTAATTCCAGCACTAGGAAGGCGAAGGCAGGAGGAACAGGAGTTCAAGATCATCCTCAACTACATAATGAGTTCTAGGCTAACTTGACTTACACTAGACCCAGTCTCCAAAAAAAAAGTGAATGAATGAACAATAACAAAAGAAATACTAAAAATGTTAAGCCTAGTCATATACACCAGTAACACCCATAATCCCAGCACCAAGGAGACACAGGAAGGAGTATCCAAGGTAGTTTAAGCCTATAATCTTAGTACTTGAGAGGCTGAGCCTGGAGGATTGCCATAAATTTCAAGCCAAGACTAAACAGTGAGACCCTGTCTAAAACAAGCAAATAACTAAACAAAAACACAAAATGAACAACCCAAAGCAAGTCTTCATTAAATGACATGTTTAGAACTGTAATGAAAGTGGGTTTTGTCTAGAGCCTTACGCAAAAGGTAGTCTTTGGATACCTTGTGGCTGTGATCACTCTTGTTCTGTGAACTGACAGGATATCTTTAGGAATTGTGGGAAGCTGCTATTATTAAAATTTGAAATCTATAATTTTATCTGAAGACTTCCTCATGTACACCATTTGTACCCATAAACCATCATTTATATAAGATAGTTTTAAAATCAGTTGGTCTGTGTATGAATTTTATAATCTCAAATACAGAAATTGAGTTTTTCAAAAGCAAATCTCAATTGGTGTTTTGCCTTTTGAAATAGAATATGTGAAATATTGTTGAAGTGAATTAGGGTCATCACTGCAAACATCAGTGACTGTATGGTGTGGCCACCCCAGAATCTGTTGTAAAATACAAGCTTGTTTGCTCTTTATAAGGGACCTCAGATTGAATTGACAGGCCTACCTTGCTTTGGGGACTTTGTGGAGAAGAGTTGTTTGCCTTGTAATGGCTTGTTTGTGTTTTTGTTTGTTTGCTTGGTTGGTTTAGACAGGGTCTCACTGTTTAGTCTATGCTGGCTTAGAATTTGTGACAGCCCTCCACCCTCAGCCTCTGAGATTAAACTACCTTGTCTGATTTCTGGTTTTATGTTTTTGATTCCTCCTTCTTTACCTGTGTTGTTTCCAAATGCTTACAAGTAAACTTGTGCCAAGTTACTTACTCCCAGATCCTGTCATTCAGATATATTCTCTTCAGCTGTAGACTTAAATTTCATCATCTTTAATGCTTTGCTCATCCCAAGGTCATTTATCTGACATCTTCAATTATTCAGAACCCATCATAAGAACCTGAAAGCAAAGCAAGTCCTTGAGCAGCCTAGATAGATGCAGCAATTTCTGAAATGGAATGTGTGTGAAGCCTGTCTCCTCTAGGGGATGTTAGACTGTGAATGTATGTGGGGCTCAGCTATTCACCATTTGTTTGTGGCTCAGCTGTCCTACACATTTAATTCTGGGCTGCCTGCCCTGGCTCCATGTTTGCTTCAGACGAGGTATTTGTTAACACAGTTGGGGGTTTATGTAGAAATAATTTCAAACTTCTATGTAAAACAGTCATGAAGTTGGATTGGTAAGTCAATTAGGAATTATAAGTAAAGGATTTAGGAAATTAAATCAAAATATGTTCCTGAATTATCCTTAATTTTAGATATTTTGGATCCCACTATCCTTCATATATAATTCAGAGTGAACACATATATAAAATACAATATTCTCATGTACTTATTTAGCCTGAAATAGATATGATATAACATTAAAATAAAGTATTTAGAAAGAATATTTTAAAATATTAAAGTGTGTGAAATGAATACCTTAGTTATATTGAACTCTAAAGCTCATTATAGCAACAAAAGTCTTGAATGCCTTTTTAATGTTGTGGAAATAAGCCTCTGTTTTTAGTCCTCTTAGGAATGAAAAGAGGGAAAATATTAAGGAAAAAAACAGAACACCTAAGCCTTAAAGCACTCTGGGCCATTTTTAAAACCCCTCCTCCCAGCTCTGTCTCTCCACTAGTTGTCGATATCCATGGCAACAGGCCTTTGGCCTTTCTAGCTCTCTAGGTAATTTGGGTTGTTCACTTTTGTTGAATAAAGAAAAACCAAAGGGAAGACTTCAAAGGTAACCAGAGATGGAGAATTTGAACTTTGGGGAACTCAGTCTGTGCTTGACTAATTGATTTTTACCCTTTCTGACTTCTGTTCTCTTGGCCCCTAATAATTGTTCCTCCCTTGTGGATATTTAGATGTAATCAGCAAAATTGCATCATTTTCAATTAAACAAAACCCAGGGTTGGTAAGATCTAGCACCACACTGCTTCTATTTTGGGGCAGAGCACTGTGCTGAATTAAAATAGGGCTGTGTTAATGTCCGGTTTTGCCAGAAATTTTGGCAATGACTAAAACATGTATTTTTCCTTTTGCTTTTTTTTTTTTACATGTCATGCTCAGTTATTTATGAAAGGAACTACAGTGTCAAGCATCTCCACAAATCCCCATAATTATGTAACAGCCACACATGCAGAGAAGCAGGCCCTCTGTCTACGGGAGGGTGAACATGTCATTGCATTTTATATAGGATTGCAGAGCTAGCTAAAATAACCCAGCTCTTACTTGCCGGTCTGTGCATGCAGTTTGCAGAAGGGACTGCCAGGCAGATGCCAGTAACTCTGGCCTTCTTCCACAACGTGTGGACAGCCAGGAAGAGGGGAAGGTAATACATTTGTCTGCTGATTTATTAGCAAAAAGCTCTTTTTAAATGGCAAACGGGCTGGAGAGTTGGCTTAGTGGTTAGGATCATTTAGTGCTCTTCCAGAGAAACTAAGTTTGGGTCCCAACACTCATAATTGCCTGTAACTCCAGTTCCAAGAGATCTGACACTCACATTAAAAACAAAAACAGTGACTAAAAAGGGAAACTAGAAAATGGGTATGGTGGCTCACACCTGCGACCTTAACACTTGCAATGCTGAGGCAGGAGGATTGCCATGAGTTTGAGGCCCATCTATGGTTGATAGTGAGTTCTAGTCAGACCTGTGACACCCTGTCTTTAAAAAAAATCAGCAAGGCAATGGTGGCACATACCTTTAATCCCAGCACTCAGGAAGCAGAGGCAGGTGGATCTCTGAGTTCAAGGCCAGGCTGATCTACAAAGTGAGTGCCAGGATACCCAAGGCTACACAGAGCAAACCTGTCTCAAACTACCCCCCCCCCAAATAAAAACAAGAAAGGGATCATTTCTCATTAACTTATTGCTGATGCTCTGTAAATGAAGCTTGAAATGCCAAAATATGTTTTCTCCTCTAGATTGTTTGGAGACTGAGGCCTCTGGCCTGACACATAGATTTTTCAAGTGTGAAGTTCAGGTGATATCCTTACTTTTACTGCAAGAAACCTCTATAAGTAACCCTAGGGCACCAGGGGTCCCCAGCTTGCTTTGCTGTTCCAACTCTGGCTACAGGCTTATCTTCCTAACATTGGTATGAGGAAAAGAGGGCTACTGTACGGGTTAACACATTTGTATTCCATTTCCCTGTTCAGTCCCACACGGGTGCTTCCTCGTGCTCCTCCTACAGGCAATCTAAAGTTAGTACCTCTTAAAAATCTCAGAACTGTTTCACTTTTCTTAAAGGGCCCAAATTTACCTATCCTGTGACATTTCAAAAACCTTTAAGCAAAGTACAGCCGTGTTCCTAAACTAATTCATAGTGTCTCTTTTCATAATTGTGGAAATGGATGCTGTTCATTGTCATGGTTGTTAATTAAAGTCCACCCTGGCAAGTGAACACTATTAATTACTTCATAGTAGACCAATTATCTAGCATGCACAAGGCCTTAAATTCAATACATAGCACCATTAAAGCTTTGTGCTTCATACAGTAGGTGGTAGCCATCTTGCCCCTCTTAGAATCTTGTATGCCCACTACATGCAGATCTGTCCTTGCTATTTATGTAGTGGAGTGATAGTTGGAATACAATGGAAAAGGTTTATATGTTGAAATTAAAGCAGCCTGAAATTCTGTTTATTAATTGCATGACTTTGGAATTGGTAAGATTCTTAGTTTTTGCTTTCTAATGTGCCAGTTGTGGATAGTAGCATCTTTCTTGTGGCATTCCTGTAAAGGGTAAAATTACAAAGCACAGCATCTTAGAGCCTTGTCAAAAAGTGACTGTTAGCCATTGGAAAGGAATCTGGCTCTTTTTATCCTGTTAAGGCTAGGCAGTGAACTCTGCTTTACAGGGCAGGACACCGGTGCTTCCAGGTTAGTGTTTGGCACCAGATCATATGGTAAGAGGAGGCTAAAGCAAGTTGTTGGCCTGTGTCTGGCTACAAAAGTTGTTCTCCCCTAACACAATATAGCTTATTAGATGCTACATCAATATGGCTACCCCTTCCCCAAACTGTATAATAATAGTCACAATATTGATGGAGGAGGACTTTTCAGAACCTGTTCTTACTTTTCCAGATTTGGAAGTGCCAGTAATTACAGAACATTTGGAAGGGAATACTGTCTGATGAATTCAGTTGTCCCCACCACACCCAGGATATTGCCAGCATACCATATTTTTCTCTAGCTCAAAGTATGACTCGGGTTGTTGAGGCTTGGTGCTGCATAGAAAGTAAAAAATCAGATTAACGATTTAAATTAGAGGGGTTTGGGTTAAAAATTTTAAAGTAAATAGCTATTAAGATATTTTGGCTAAGGCACTGACAAAGTAGAAAAGCTAACTTATTGTCAACTTGTTGTTTCTTAGGCCACAGGAGGCGGATACGAAAGTGACGATGCGTATCATAACGCCGAGCTGTCTTTCTTAGACATTCATAATATTCATGTTATGCGTGAATCTTTAAAGAAAGTGAAAGACATTGTTTATCCTAACATTGAAGAATCTCATTGGTTGTCCAGTTTGGAGTCTACTCATTGGTTAGAACATATTAAGGCAAGTATACTTTAAAAATATTTGTGGGTATAAAAATACTTATTTTGAAGAAGGTGAAATTTTATTAAATATTTAAAAATTACACACAGAAAGAGAAACTGTAGTAGAAGATTCTATATTTGACAGCTTGATGTTTCTTTATAATTTGGTTACCTAAATTGAAGATTTCACAACATCATTCTATCTTATGTTTAGAGTCTGTAGAACTTTCTCTTCTAATCTTGTCAGTAGTAAATCTCATGTAGGTTTATTTAGGAATAGAAAATTTATTATCCAACTCTTATTGGGCATATCACTCATAGACCTAGACAAAGGTGCCCCTTTTTGCTGTTTTCATTTTAAAATTATTAATGACAAATTTTATCTTATTTTATTTTTGGGTTTTTATGGGTTTTTTTGTTTGTTTGTTTGTTTCAAGACAGGGTTTCTCTGTATATCTTTGGCTGTCCTGAACTCACTCTGTAGACCAGGCTGGCCTGGAACTCACAGAGATACTCCTGCCTCTGCCTCCTGAGTGCAGGGGTTAAAGGAGTGTGCCACCACTGCCCAGCTAATGACTAATTTTAAAGAATAGGTTTTGCATTTTGATTACATTCAATTGTTTATCATATAGCTTCATAAACTGAATGCATATTTTAAGCAGGTGAATTATTAAGATCCATTGTTCTCTAGTGAAATTTGCTTTCCAACCTGACAAGAATTGTATTTTTTTTATTTTTCCTCTTCAAGTTTCTTGTCTCTTAATTTATCATCCTCAGAAAATGAATTACAAAATAATGAATCATGGCTTTTAACTATAGTATAATATCCTGAATGGGACTCTAGAAAAGAAAAGGGGCATTAGATTAAGAACTAAGGAAATGTGGGGCTGGATAGATGGTTCAGGGATTAAGAACACAGGCTGCCCTTCCAGAGGGCGTGTGTTTGATTCCCATCACCCATATGGTGACTCATACACAAATCTCTGTAACACCAGTTTCAGGGGATCTGAAGCCCTCTTCTGGCTTCTGCATGCACAGCCAGGTAAACACATGATACAAAAATGTACATGCATGCAAAATACCCATACACATAAAGGAAATAAATATTTTTTTAAAAAAATACCCTAAGGAAATGTGAATAAAGTATGGCCTTTTAAAGCAATACACTTAGTTACATTTCTTAGTAAGTAATAATGTGTCAGTATAGATTTCTTACTTGTGCCAAATATCCCTTACAATGATACTAAGAAGGGAAACTGGGTTAGGTATCTGGGAACTTCTGTAGTACCTTCACAGCTTTCCTGTGTTGCTGAAACTTAAAATATATTTTTAAATAGCACAGTTTTAATGCATATCGTCATGTTAGAACTTGTGAAGGGGAAAGATGGCTAGATGGTCAAAGTAAAAGAAAGCATATTCTAATATACTGTGTTTTCAGATCAGAGTAGGCCTTTATAACAAAGTCAGATGAAAAAATAGGCTTAATCTAGTCCTTCTAGAAAGTAGAGGGCTGGAGGAATCCATTTTAAAGAAGACAGTGAAGTGAACACTCAGAAACTGCTGTAGGTAAGTTCAAGTTGACAAGAACAGCATGTTTTAATTTATTTGCAAGGTTTTTGAAAATAAATTTATAAAACCAAGAAACATTTTAAGTGAGATTGCTCTAACGTGGATCTGGGAGAAGTCGGGCAGCCAGGGCCTTGACTGTCAAATGCTAGGGAAAGATCTCAGGGTTTGGGTAACAGTTTGGTAATGTGGGGAGCTATTCTAGGGGCTGATTATGTAATTGATACAAGAGAAAAGAATGTGAAGTTAGAAATAGGAGATTCAAAAGAGCAGTGTCAAAGCAAGGATGCAGAGGCTACCAAGAGACAAGTTGCGTCTTATGCAGAACATGTAGTGTGATGTGAATAACTAGATGTAAGAGCTTCAGAAATGAAGACTGCCACAAGGAGGGTGGAGCCACTTGCCCGAGAAAAGGATGCTTCGATTTTCAGTTTAAGGGCAGTCCTGACTAGGCTTAAAAAAACACTGTTCTCTGGAGTTAGTGGGAGGCCATCCTCCAGTGCGATATGTCAAGCAGATTCTCATGTAAAGTAGAAATCAAAATAGAGAATTGTAACTACATGTGAGCTTGGGAGTCAGTGGTGTGGCAACTTACCTACCTGTAACTCTAGTTCTCTGAAAGGTGAAAGGGGAACTCTTTAGAGCAGGTTGGCTAACCAGACTAGCCATATTGATGATCTCTGGGATAGATTGAAAGTCCCTGCCTCCAAGAATAAATGACAACCATGGGCTTACACATATACCTGAAAACATGCACATGCACACGAATGCATGCATGCCAGCCCCCAAAAGCTAGATAAAGGAGAAAAGAGTAGAGAGTTATGTGATTATAACAAAGGCTTTCAAGTCTTGGGACGCTTCAGCCTATTTTCAGACAGAGAACTTGGGTGTCTTATTAAGGAAAGAAAGACAATTCTAAAAGTTAGTATATGGGACTTTTTGTGCTAGTGGAAAGCATTGGGAATAATCTGAGTGTAGAAGAAGAGTTCTATGTATATAAGAGATTCTGTGTAGTCAATCATGTACTCTGGTTGCTAATAACACAAGGAAGTGCTCAAAACCCCAATTAAGGAATCCGAAGTTTACAAAGATGTCTCCCAACTTTTTCTTTCTTCATTCTTTCAACAAATTGGAAATATTTTCTTTTCTTTTTTTAGTTTTTTAGAAAAATAGGGGAAGGTGGGAAGGAGGAGAGAGGGGGAGGAAGGGCAAGAGGGAGAGACATGTATTAGACATCTTTGGAAGGCAAGGAAAGCACCTATCCTGCAGCAGAAAGAAGAAATAAATACGGGTTGAAACCCGACTGGTACCTTGTTTGGGTGCCTGGGGAAATCATGAAGCAAGGCTGTGTGAAGAAGATTTTGTCTAGAAGTTAGGAGTTAAGAAATGTAGAAAATGTGGAAGATCCCCATCAGACTGCTATTGTCTCTAGTGAGGGGATTTCAAAACGAATGAAAGAAATTCTCACTGGACTTTCACATGACCAATGTTGGTGTGACAAGGCTGAGGAGCCACGTGGGTCCATGTGACAGCATCCATCTCAGAGTTCTCACACATCAGTTAAATCCTAGTAGTTAAGGGCAGTAGAATGGGTAGAGTTGAACTTTGAGACTAGGTGTGATACTTGGGACTGTATTTCCTCTCTCTAAGCACCAGGGAAAATCTATTCTTGTCTCTTCTCAGTTAATCCTGGCCTCTTAGTAAATTTCTTGTTACTGTCTCTTGTCTTCATTAGCAAGAACCACTGTCTAGAACCTGCAGCTTTCTCTTTCACAAAAGTACCGAATTTGTTTTCAGTGATTTAGTTTTGCAAACCAGGATTTTGTTTTATGAGATAATTATAGTTGCTCCAAGTCAGAGTGACTGTGGGGATTCATAATTAGGAAACATCTAGTATTTTCTAAAATAATTGCCTTTTTATTGTAAGTGAGAGACACATCTTGGAGGAGAGCTGCCCTCTACAGTGTGCTAGAACCCCAACTTCATTAAGTTGGGCTCCAGTAATCTAGAAGCACTGCTTCCCAGCAGCACTTTCTGCAGAAGTACCTCAAGTTAATACTGCAAACAGGATTGCAGGCAGTCATTTCAGAAGTGCTCAGTCTACACTGGTGCTTTTGATAGTCTGCCATCCATTGGTCCCCGAACTTTTTTTCTTGCTTACTTGTGTCTCATGAATTCATATAAAATAATAAGCTTTCATATTTTCTATTTGTCAGATGATTCGCATAATCCACTTTTTCCTTAAATACATTTCAGTGAATTTTTTCAGTTTCTTTTAATTAGTTAAAATGACCATACTACATTCTAAGTATGGCCTTAGAATTTGAGGTGTTCCATGGAATAAACCTTAGAAAATCAGCTCAAGGGCCAGCAACAGGATGGTTCAGCAGCTAAAATGCATGCTATTCAAGCATGGTGACCAGAGTTCGTTCCCCAGAAGACATATACAGGTGGAAGGAGATAACAGACTTCCGTCATTAACTATAGCATGCATACCTACACATACATGAATGAAGTCATATACAAATATGCACATGACAGTATGTTTTAAAAATCAACTCAAAGTAACTATTAAGTACTTGGGAAGATACAGCCCCCAAACAATACTAGAAGGAATGTGAGGTGCTATAACTATTTCCCTTAAAATTTGTTTCCCCAAATAAGCATACATTTTTTACCTTGAATATACATGTGCCATATGGCCCTGTCATGTCACTTATAGATGTTTTCCTTAGAAGAAAGAAAATGGTATGTCCTATCAAAAACCGAGAATGCAAAAATCCACAGCAGCATGATTTGTAGTATATAAATGGTAGAAACAACCACATTTCCATCAGCTGAGGGATGGATAAATAGCTATTCATATAATAGGAGATCACTTACTCATGCAAAGGACTGAAGCCCTGGAAAAAAATCTCAAGAGTATCTGAATGTGATCTCTACCCATAGCACAGAGAGCTCCCCCGAATCTTGTAGTTCCTGATGTTCTGGTTTGTGCCGTGCATTGACATTTGAAAGCAGGACTTGGGCTAGAGTGAAGATGGGTGGCACTTTGACATTGGAGCAATATCAGTGCTCCCTGCTGATGACATGCATGTTTTCCCCTGACAGCTTGTCCTGACAGGAGCCATTCAAGTTGCAGACAAAGTTTCTTCAGGGAAGAGCTCAGTGCTTGTGCACTGCAGTGATGGATGGGACAGGACTGCTCAGCTGACATCCCTGGCCATGCTGATGCTGGACAGTTTCTACAGGAGTATTGAAGGCTTTGAAATATTGGTACAGAAAGAGTGGATAAGTTTCGGACATAAATTCGCATCTGTAAGTAAACACTAAAGCTGTCCTTTTTAATGAGCTGGGATTTTAAAAAACTGGTTTCTCTACTATGTATTCAGTTCTGACATGAAAGTCTGAGGATTGCCAAGCAAGGTGACACTTGCCTTTAATCTCAGCACTGAGGAGGCAGGTAGTTCTCAATGAGTTCCAAGCCAGCATGGTCTAAATAGCAAGTTCCAGGATAGCTAGGGTTACCAAGGCCTTGTCTCAAAAAATCAGAGGAATATAAATAAATATATAAATAAACCACTTTACAATTTCAAATATCTGTGAGTCTTTGGGCTAATGGAAGTCTTTTGGGGGTTTATCCATCTTTACTATTTCTAGTTAAACTCAAGTGTAGTAAAGTCTGAAGAGAAATGTATAAATTGAGACTTGGGAGGCTGAGACAGAAAAGTTGATATGAGTTCCAGCAAAGGCTGCCCAGTGATTTCCAGACCTAGGATACTGAATGATTTCCAGACCTAGGATAACAAGTACATACAAAGTTGCCCTGTGAGTTCCAGACTTAGGCTACCCAGTGAGTTACAGCCAAGGCTACCCTGTGAGTTCCAGGCCTAGCCTACCCCATCATATCCAAGCCTATGATACTGACTTTGTTCCTACCATGGCTACCCAGTGAGTTTCAGCCAAGGCTACAGACTGAGTTCCAGCCAAGGCTGCACAGTGAATTCTAGATCTAGGCTACTCAGTGAGTTCCAAGTCTAGGGTACACAGTGAATTCCATCCAGGGCTCCCTAATGAGTTCCAGCCAAGGCTACCCAGTGCTTTTCAACTGAGATTTCTAAGTGAATTCCAGGCCTAGGCTATCTACTGAGTTTCAGGCTTAGGCTACCCACTGAAATCAAGGTCTAGGCTAACCAGCGAATTCTAGCCAAGGCTTCCCTGTTCATTCTAGGCCTAGGCTACACAGTGAGTTCCAGGCCTAGGATACCCAGTGAGTTCTAGCCAGAGGCTACCCAATGATTTCCAGTTCTTGGCTACCCAGTGAGTTCCAGCCATGGATACTAATGAGTTCTGGCCAAGGCTCTCCAGTGAGTTCCAGCCAAGGCTACCCAGTAAGTTCAGGCCTAGGCTATCTAATGAGTACCAGGACTAGGATACTCAGTGACTTCTAGCCAAGGTTCCTCATTGAGTTCCAGGCCTAGGCTACCACTGAGTTCCAAGCCTAGGTTATTCAGTGAGTTTCATGCCTGGGCTACCAAGTGTGTTCCAGGCAAAGGCTGTCCACTGAGTTCCATGTTTAATCTACCCAGTATTCCATCCAAGGCTGCCCAGTCAGTTCCACCCACAGCTACCCAGTAAGTTCCAGCCTAGGCTACCCAGTGTGTTCTAGGCCTTGGTTACCCAGTGGGTTCCTAGCATAGGCTACTCAGTGAGTTCCAGAACTAAACTTCCCAGTAAGTTCTAGGCGTACCCTACTCAGTAAGTTCCAATCAAGTCTACCCAGTGAGTTCCAGCCTAGACTACCCACTGAGTTCCCAGCCAAGGCTAACCAGTGAGCTCCGGCCATGGCTTCCCTATGAGTATAAGGCCTAGGCTACCCACTTGAGGCTCTTTTTTAATTCTCAGATACACATTTTTTAATCATCAATGGATCCCATGGCAATTCATATTGTGGGGTCTTGTTTCCAGATGTCTTTTGAGTGAGCATCTTTTAAACATTTATTTATTGGGGGGGGGGCATGTTTTGTCTGCATGTGTTTTTGCACGCCACATCAAGCAATGCTTTTGGAAGCCAGTAGAGGGCATCAGATACCTTAGTACTGGGGTTAAAGCTAGTTTTTAGCCACCCTCTGGGAATTGAACCTAGGTTCAAGAGCAGTAAGTACTCTTAACTGCTGAGCCATCTCTCCTTTAGCCAGTTCCATGGTGATTCTCAGAAGATACATGTATCATAATAACAAAAATACTGTTTGATCAGCTTTTATCCTTCATCCAAATTTCACAAAGCAACATTTCCAAGTGGAATCAGCCACTGTTTAATAGAGACATTGTAAGGGTTTTTGTTTGGGCTCTAGCAGAGGTAAGCATTGTAATCATAATAATTGTACTTTGGGCATGATTTCAAGCCTTTGAATTTCCAGGCTGCTTCTTCCCTGAGAAAACTAGTGAAGCTAGAAAATACCACGAAGGATACTTCAGTTACCTATATCTGCAGCTGTTTGGGACCTGTGCAACATTCCAATCATATGAAATAATTTTTAACTGTTACAGAGGTTGATGGTGCTTTGCTAATTTTCATTGTTTTGTGTGTATTTGCAGTTGTGTGTGAATATGTGTGTAAATGCACATGGCTGTGTGGGGATATGTGTATGCGTGTAAACTTATGTATGGAGACCAGAGGTCTACCTCAGGTGTCACTCCTTAGGAGTCATCCTCCTTTTTATTAAATACGGCCTCTCTCGAGGACCTGGAACTTTTTTTGCTTAAGCTAGGTTGACTGGCCAGTGAGCCCCAAGGATCCTTCTGTCTCCACTGCTCCAGCTCTGGTGCTGCCAAAACAGTTGTTTGGTTTGTTTAATCATTTTCTGTGTGTTCTAGAGATTAAACTCAGGTCCTCATGCTTGCATAGCTAGCACTTTATTGACTAAATACTCCCTCTAGTCCCTCTCACTGAATTGTCATTATTCAGATGGTGAAATGGCTCTGTTGTTAAAGGTGCTTCCCACCAGGCCTGATGGCATCACACTTCCTAGAAAGGACAGAGTCAACCCTTGAAACTTGACCTCTGACTTCCATGAATATGTAGGACTTGTGCACATGCATACACAAATAAACACATAAATGTAATTTTAAAAATTGCCGTTATCATGAAATCAACGGTTGTTTCTCTGTATTTCCAGGGCAACCTGCATAGTTTACTGTCTGAGAAGCTTGGCATTTAGAAGGCAGGTTGCTGAGTTGCATTGTGACATTTTGTAAGTTATATGCTTTCTCTGTTTTGTACCTGTGAATTAAATAATCTTCATCAATTCATTTCAGAGAATAGGTCATGGTGATAAAAATCATGCTGATGCTGACCGATCTCCTATTTTTCTCCAGTTTATTGACTGTGTGTGGCAGATGTCAAAACAGGTAAGAATATGTGGGATAAATATACACTCAATGTTTAAATAGTGTCTTATAACATCTAAAGTTTGCCTACAAAATAATCCAAGGCAGAAATAAAGATGAAACAGGCCTGACTATGAGTGAATAGTGATTGAATCTCAACAACAGGGACATAGGAATTCATTTTTTAAAATTACTATGACATAATACTACTATGTATGTCTAGAATTATCCATAGTTTGTAAACTTAAATTTTTAACTGAATTGCCTGTTCTAATGGAAGGTTAGCAGGAGTGACAATGCCCTGGCATTTCTGTATAAGCTTACCTGCTAACTCATAATTCTTTTTTAAAAAAGTAAACTTTTGGCCACTTTTTACCTTTTCTTCCTTGACTTGACACATATTAAAGTACATCAGTCTTATATGAAGTAAAAAAAAAAAAAGAATAAATAATCCTGTGGGGTGTGTGCAAATGGCAATCTCTGCTGTCCTTCCCAGAGTTCTTCAGTGAGGGAGCACTCTTAGTCACTCTTACCATCCATCTGTGCAACTTGTCTTGCTCATGTGTGTGTGTGTGTGTGTGTGTGTGTGTGTGTGTGTGTTTTTTTTAATTCAAAGTGAACAATAATATGCCATATTCTTACTTTGACACTCTGGTCTGATAGAAACTATATTCTCTTTGCATTTTTTCTTCCTTGAGATAATAGACTAGACTTTTCATGTTTGCTTGCTTGTTTGTTTTTTATCTAGTTTCCCACAGCTTTTGAGTTCAATGAATGCTTCTTGATTACGATCTTGGATCATCTGTATAGCTGTCGATTTGGTACTTTCTTATTTAACTGTGAATCGGCTCGAGAAAGACAGGTGAGCAAAACACTAATTTTTTGTGAACGTTTTACAAAGTGAATCTAAGAAGAATATGAGTGTTTATGAAGCCCTTCTTTTGCCCTGAGGAGTAGGAGTGATTTTTAAAGTATACAAGTTCTCCCTTGTGGAGCTCCATGAAAAGTTATAGAAAGGGAATTTTTTAATTTATTTGTTTGAGAATTTCATACAGTATATTTTGATAATATTCTTTCCTGTTACCCAGGTTCTTACCCCCTCCCCATCCCTTACTCATCTCATTTGATAGTCTCTCTTAAAAATGAGGGAGAGGAGGGAGGGAGGGAAGGAAGGAAGGAAAGGGAATAAAAGCCCACTAAAAACGTGGGGCCTGCCCTGGAGTAGGGTCATACTCCATTGACAAAAACTGATTTTCCCTTTCCCAACAGCTACCATTTTTAAATAGCTTCTTGAAGAGGTGGGACTTTGTGTTCACTTTTCCTTCTCCTTTCTGGGAGTTTGTCTGGCTTGAAGTTGTATGGTTTTCTGTGGTGCCACAGTCTCTGAGTTCATATGTGCACTAATGCTCCTGTGTCTAGAATTTGCTGTTTCCCAGAAGTCAGTCACCAGCTCTTGTTCTTGAAGTCATTCTGCCTCCTACTCTGCATAGATTCCTGAGCTTGGGGATGGGGATTTGATAAAGACATCCCATTTGGGGCTGAATACTCCTAAGTCTCTCACTTTATACACCTTGTACAGTTCTGGGTCTCTGTGTTAATTGCCATCTACTACTAGAAGCAGCTTCTCTGGTGTGAACTGAGTGTGCTCTGATCTGTAGATAAAGCAGTAGGTCATTAGACATCATTTTATTGTTATGCTTATTTAGGAGACTAATAGTGGGTTTTCCCCCTGGGCCCATGCCCTATGTAGGCTTAGGTTTTTAACCTCATTAAAAATTTCAGTTATGGCTTCCAGCTCATGGAGTGGCTCTTTTTTCTTATTTTTTAATTTAAATTAGAAACAAGCTTCTTTTACATGTCAATCTCAGTTCCCTCTCCCTCCCCTCTCCCCTGCCCCCCAACTACCCCCTATTCCAACCCCTTTCTGCTCCCCAGGGAGGGTTAGGCCTTTCATGGGGGAATCTTCAAAATCTGTCCTATCATTTGGAGCACGACCTAGCCCCTACCCTGTGTGTCTAGGCTGAGAGATTATCCCTCTATATGGAGAGG